TTCTTTCTTTCTTTCTTTCTTTCTTTCTTTCTTTCTTTCTTTCTTTCTTTCTTTCTTTCTTTCTTTCTTCCTAAACTTAATTGCCCCCCAAAGAGATTTTTCTTTCATCCCTTTAAGGTACACGCATCTGCACGCGCACACACACACACACAGACAGACCATTAATAATCTCAGTCAGAGCTTGCCAAACGCATTCCTTTCTTGCATGGACAGAAGAAAAATCAGTAAGACAATTAGCACTCAGGTTGCATGAAATTCTTATTGTTTCTCGCATTGAATTTCTTGTGCCCTTTTATGTAGACCCTGAAAAATACCAAATTCCATTTCTGTCTCAGTTGGAACAAAATGCCCTTTTTTTGTACCCAAACCATGCAAACTTGCAGTTTTTCACCTTGTGTTTTCTGAGAGAGCCATCTTCACCTCCAGAAGGGATTGGCTTTTCTTCAAAGTTTGTTTGGAATAAAGGATTCTCCTCCCCAGCCCTTGCCTATGGCCTGCTGGCATCTCACAGGTGAAGTGAACTTCTCTGGGAATGACCAAGGCTCCTCTGGTTCCCCCTTTTTCTACCCCTGCAGAGAGGGAGGCCATTAAAAAAATAAAATAAAACTTTCTAAAACGGCTCTGCCCTCACTCTAATCTAATGCACCCACTCCTCCCCCAGAGCCAGGCAGCCCAGATTCTTTTATTCTTTTATTAACATCCTGGGTCTCATTGGAGCCTCGCCGCAGCCACACGCTTTTCCCTCCAGGCACTGGGGCGTGTGCGCAGAGCAGCCATGAACTGTCCAGGCACATGGCTCTGAAAGACAGTCGAACGTTCCCTCGAAGGCAGGTGCTCCCTTCTCAAATCCCAGACTTTTTTGTGTTTTAAAAAAGCCAGCCAGATGGCAATTTAACATGGGAATAAAAGGACATATCTAGAAAAAACTGGATGTATGGTAACCCCGATAAGAGCTGTATTTCTATGAGCAAAGAGCCTCATGCGGCTCAAGAGCTGTGGGAACTGGGAGAAAGGCTGGATGAGTGAAGAGGTGACCAGGAGAGTGATAGAAGAAGACAGAATAGCATCAAACATGCATACAATCTGATGAGTTACCAGCTAGTATAAGTATATCCATATTTAACACTGTCTCATGAATGATTCTGGATTTAAGCCAATTTCTACCTATGAAGGAGCAGCAGCATGAGACCTATATGGGGGAAAGTGCACCCCACTTCTGCTAATTGCAGGGTTCTTACATTTTTCTCTGAAATAGGTGGCATTGACCACTGCGAGAGACAGGTATGAGATGCATCATTGGTCGGAGCCAGTCAAGGCCGTGTCTAAACTACACCCCTCTCTTGGCAGAGGGATGTAAATTAGACATATCGAAAGTGCAAATGAAGTGGGGATTTAAATATCCCACGCTTCATTTGCATAATGGTGGCCGCCGCTTTTTTTTCGAAATGGTTCTTTTTGAAAAAAAAGGCAGTTTAGATGGGGCATTTTTGACACAAATCCTGTACTCCTCATTTTTTGTGGATGGTACAACCCACTTCTAAAGCTGATGACACCATCTACATTTTTTGTTAGTGTCTAAGGTGCTGCAAGACTATGCATTATTTATTAAGTTTTTTTCAGCTACAGACTGACATGGCTATCGCTCTGAAACTTTAGGATATCTAATGTTAAATGTGTCTGTGTTCTGCCAAAGATGCTGCAGTGTTCCCATTTCAGCAGTTTAAATAAGAAAATTATGTTGTTCAATTTTATCAGTATGGCTGCATCTAGACTGGCATGATTTTGCAGAAATACTTTTAACGGAAAAGTTTTTCCGTTAAAAGTATTTCCGCAAAAGAGCGTCTAGATTGGCACGGATGCTTTTGCGAAAAAGTGCTTTTGTGCAAAAGCATCTGGGCCCAATCTAGATGCGCTTTTGCACAAGAAAGTTCCGATGGCCATTTTAGCCATCGGGCTTTCTTGCGCAAAAAATTAAGGTGCCTGTCCACACTGGCCCTCTTGCACAAGTATGCTTGTGCAAGAGAGCTTATCCCTGAGTGGGAGCGTCAAAGTATTTGTGCAAGAAGCACTGAATTCTTACATTAGAACGTCAGTGCTCTTGCACAAATTCAAGTGGCCAGTGTAGAGAGCTGGCAAGTTTTTGCGCAAAAGCAGCTGATTTTGCGGAAAAACTTGCCAGTCTAGACACAGCCCATGTGTGATCTCTCTAATTACCATAAGTGGCTGTGGAAGCTGGAGGGAAGAGGAGGAGTTGCAGAGTTGTCTTGCGGTTGGGGTGGGCTTGCCTCTTTCAGTAAAGGTCGGCATCAGGTTTTTTGCATTTCAAAGCTAAAGCAGGAGAAGGCTTAGTGTTTGTAAATTATTTATAGATCTTTAGATGAAAGGAGCTATTTGGTATTAGCAATGATAATATTCAGTAGTAGTGTTGATTTAATATATCAATATATAAATGAAGATGTTACAATCAACGGTCCAAATCCTGAAGTTCTAAATCATATGTTGCTCAATCTTTATTCAATCAAAACTCCTGTACAATGTCTAAAAATGACTTAAATGGCTAAAAAAATAATTAAAAGCTTCAGAGCATGGCCCTATAATGACATTTTATTTTAATCCTTACAGGTAATTCTATTTACTCTAATGAAACAAAATGATTTTGGTAGCTCACACCTGTCTTGTTTCATCAAGAAGGAAAGGCTCAGGTGAAAATGGATTGTTTTGGGTATGAAAGCTTCTCATCTTGTCTGCAGCATTTTTCTTATCTTCCGTTTCTGACTGATGCATGTTATTTCAGTACAGAGCAGATGTGATCCAGTAGGTGGTCTTATTGCTCGGACTATTTCTGCAAAGAGTTATTTTTACTCTGTCCTGATATAGCTCCATAAGCATATTAGTTCATCTGTATGAGGGCTAAGAGTTTAGCATGCCTGTGTTGTGCTTTGTCAAGCACAAAACCTTAATGGATAAAGGTATCCTTTTATCAATGTGGGTAAAGAATAGATTTGTAGGTGCCCAGGCTAATCTCTCAAGAGTGGGACTAAGCTTTGGTTGACAAAGTCACAAACACAGGATAGTACTCTTTAATTTTAAGGGATCAATTGAAGCAAAAATATAGTATGTTGTTCCCTTACAGCACCCTTCATTTGAAGATCTGGAATAAGTTCACAAACACTAACCAGATGGGCTTCCCACCATCTGTGGGCCACATATTCTTTAACTTATGTCCATTTTACAGGTAACTTAACTAAGGTACAGAGCAGGGGAGTGATTTGTGGGTAGTGATGTCATGCCACCACCAAGACCAGAACCCACAAACCTTTATTCCCTGCTGTAACCACTAAACAACACAACACGATCACACTATATCTCTGATCTTGAGAGGTGCTGATGACTTGCAGCCTCCATGGTCCCTCATTCCACCTCTCTCAATCAGGCCCTATCATAAAACCATAGAAGGGACCTTGAGAGATCTTCAAGTCCAGTCCCCTCCCCACACAGCAGGACCAAGCACCATCTAGATCAGGGCTACTCAATTTTGGAAGCCCCTGAGGCCACAATGATACTCACAGCACATGCCAAGGGCTGCAACTTAAGTATGGTTGCATATACAGGCAAATATAAATGCAAATTGCTTCTTTCCCACTGACGGGAATGAATACAGAGATTAAGCCTTAAGCTGTAGCGCCGGACCCAAACGTGGCCAGTGTGAGTCAGTCAGCACCTCTCAGGCTCTGCCCACAAGGCTAAGCAGCCAACACTTCCCACAATGCCCTGGTGCTCCCAGCACCTCCTCCCTGGGGGCTAGAAATGCCGACACCCTGCACCCATCTGTTCCAGCCAGCCCGTTCGCTTGCGTCTTTCAGTGCTCACCCCACATGGGAGATGCCTCGCCGTTGTGAAGTGTGTTCCCTGTGAAGGCCATGTTCAAAGGATCCCACCTGTGGGCTGCATGTTGAGCTCCGTATGTTGGAACTGAAAGTTTTATTCGTTTTATATTTGTATTTTAGGATTAATAATGTAGCAATGTAAGGTAACATAGTATCACATTTAATATTTTATTAAACTAAGCCCTTTAGTAAGATATATATATTTTTTAAAGTTTAGTAAGTAGAGAGACAAGATCTCATATTGTGTCTATGTCAATGAGATTAGAGGAGTGTTGAAGGCCCGATCCTTCAGTGTGAATTATTTTAATTACAAAATTTAGTAAGGCAATTTACAATGCTGTTTGCTTTTGTTCAATATAAAACTTTGCTGTTTGTACTCTGTGAAAGACTGATTGTATGAATGAGATATGGTGTGAAGGTCATTGTTAGAGCCAGATGGTCAAGAGAGAAGGGGGAGAATGTGGGGTGAAGACAAACTGTAAAAGACAGACTGCGAAGAGACATATTGGCGTCAGAG